AGTGGTTAAGAGTGGTGGATTCTAATCTGGAGAACGGGGTTTGCTTACTTCCCCAGTCCTCTGCATGAAACCTGCTGGGTGACCTTGGGCCAGTCACAGTTCTCTCAGAACTCTCTCAGCCCCGTCTACCTCACAAGAGGACTGTTGTGGGGAGAGGAAGCGAATGTGATTGTAAGCTGCTCTGAGACACCTTAAGGTAGAGAAAAGCAGGGTATAAAAACCAACTCTTCTTCTTCTTCTCCTCTGCTTGCCCCTAAAAGCAGTCTTACTACAGTTCCCCAGTTGCACTGATCATGAACTGTGGTTTCATGTTCTTCTTAATGTTGAGCAGCATGCATGAACTATCAATTTCTTCCAGCCTGCAATATGTGACTCTATATTATACTACGTTTCAGTTTTTTTTCTCCAGGTTGCTCTCTGCTGTTCTGGCCACGTATCTTGCTTTGTAGCTGTTTTGTTCCCCCAGCATATATTTCTTAAAGGGGTCTTATCCATACAGGGCTGTCATACAAGGAATGGGGCTGTTTATTAGCTCCTCCAAGCCCCAACATACCACTGCAAAGTGCACATGCTTTAGAATTACTTCCCCTTCCCACACTGAAGCGGATATGCTCAGTACTTGGACAGAGAGCTCACTGCACCACTCTGAGAGCCCCACAGCCTGTAAGCATACATTCTAAAATTCCCATAATTTATTTAAAGATTTCAGGCTCAGATAGGATTACAATCCAGAAGTCTGATTTTGGCACTCCAACCACATGTAATGGGAGCATGTGCCACGCACAATCCTTTCGATACATGTGGTTGTCATTTTGTAAGAATGGGACAATGTGCATATTTTCAAAGCCCACACACTCCCCCTAAAATTTGGGGTTCATTTCACACATACAAAAGCTTTCTGCATGTTGCCCCTTTTCATTCAAAATGGTGGTTGTGTATATTGGGAGGATCACATAGGAGTGTCAAAACCGAACAACTGAAAAGGGCTACAAAATTTCATCCTGGAATGCTGGCACATACCAGGGTTTTTGCAGGATTTAGGGTGAGGGCTTCTTGTTTATTGCTCCCTAAAGGGCCACCGAACACAGTCATTTTCCTGTTGTTTGTTGTTATTTTTTAAAGTCTTGACTTTACCTTCACTTTCATGTCTACAACATATTAATGCTGGAAATCTGCTTTGATGTTCTTACCCACCTTTGCATTTAGGAAATGTTAGGAAAAGGAGGGGGGGGAGGTCCAATAAAAAGTAAACATTGCAACTCAGTCAGAGGCTGAGCTATATCTTTGTAGTGCCTTGGAAATCTGCCAGCATTAAATAGAATCCAGTTGGTGGGGACTGAAGGGTTCCTGGCAGTAAATCAATACATCAAATCTTGCAGAATAATGTCTTTTCTCATCGGCGACAACTAAAATCTGTTCTCTGGTTGTTGCCATTGCAAATGGGGGGAAATTAAGTATTTGATTATTTAAAACCAAAAGCATGATAGGGAGTCATCAGTGGTTGCACCAAAGGAGATGCTTAGACAATGCCTGGTTCTGTTTGGTTAGAGAGCCTGCAAATCTTTGCTTGTTGATGAGAGCTAGTAAATATGATGGGCCTGATCATGGAGTCAGCACATAATCAAAACACCCAGTAAAATCAATAGGAGTTTCCTCCCTGTAGCCAGCACTTGAGGGACAGAGGAAGAGAACAGACTGTGTGACAAAGGGGGCAACTGTGCTTGTGTTCAGAAGTGTATGTGCTCTGGGGAAAATGCAGATACCTTACAAAAAGAAGTATCTTTAAAAAACCTTTCATTTTGTGTGTGTGTGGGGGGGTGTTGTATTTTTGTTTTAAATAAGAAATAAGATGTTCAAGTGTTGGCTTAATATACCAAATGTTTAATTGTTCTGAAAATAGGATTCACAAATGTGATCTAATTTAAAGGCTCAGGCACGCAGCATATACACATGATGTGGGTAAAAGAGCAAAGGCTAGCATGCAGCATTGTCATATATAGATCACAGTGCATGTGTGGCTCATATGCATATACCCTGTTGTGCAATCCATCTACCCCATTTGCATCTGAGAAATCAAGAAGATCACCTGTGTACTGTACAGCTGCATGGGCATTGGGTTGTATTTCCACCCTATTCAATAGAAACTATGCAAAACAGGGTCTGGGAGTTCAAGATTCCCTCCTATATCTCTCCATGTAGAATAGAATCTAGCTACTGGGGAACTGTGCAAAATGGGCCTAATAAATCAAGGAGAAGATTCTGAATGTATCTTACTTATTCCATCTACAGATAATACTCTCACTGGCACTGTCAGGGTCAGACTTTCAGGCAAAAGTGCAGAGGACCATCTCATACATTTTTAATATACACACTATTACCATCTAAAGAGGGTCCCAAAAGACAATTAAGTCTAGAGTCCAAAATTACATAACTGCATCACTGTATGTTTTCCATAACCAACAGACTTGGGAACTCTAAACATGAAATGAATACTATGTATAGAATTAGACAATACGCATGGGAAACTGCAAGGACTTTCCCCCTCTCCCACTATTTCCTCTTTCTCTTTCCTGAAAGCCCCATAGCCTCTCCCCTTTTCCTGCTTCCTTCTCCCCTTCCCACCCAATAGCCAACCTACATTTATCTGCCCCTTTGTCTTCAGGCTTCCCTCTCCACCACCATTAGCCTCTACCTAGGAAAACTATCACCCAGATGTGTGGTGCTGGCCACCCCCCCCCTTCCCTTGTACTCCTCATAACAGGGAACCCACATTTTCCCCTGTATTCCCCTTCCTACACCATTTCCTCTTTCCCTTTTTTTTTCTCCGCCTGTCACCCCCCATATCCTTTCCCCTTTCCCTCCCTCATTCTCGCCTTCTCCAGCCTACCTTTTACTGCCTCCCATCTTCAGCTACATCTGTTATTTATTTACTTCATTTATATGCCACCTTTCTTCACAGTGAGGACCAAAGCAACTTATTCTTCTCTCCTTTTTTCTCCTCATAACCCTGTGAGGTAAATTAGGCTGAAAGTATGTGACTGGCCCAAAATTGCCCAATGAGTTTCAACAGCAAGGTGGGGATTTGAACCTGGGTCTCCCAGACCCTACTCCAAAGCTCTAACTGCTACACCACTCTGGCTTTCACAGGGTGGCTGCTATGGCCTAGGTGAATCACACAAGTCAGGTGGTATCATATCACCCTGTGATTGCTATCAGGCATGGTCCCAATGAATCTTCTCTCAAAGCCCAAAACTGCCCTGGAAAGGACCCTGCCTCATCCCCCTGCCTTTTACTCATAGAAATCAAGCCTTGGAATGCTGTGGTTGCCTACCAACAGCCACTGAGAGATCCCTTTGTTAAAACTCCTATCATCTTAGAATTTTTTTTAAAAAAAGGTTTTTTTCCTGATTTCAGATTTTTTTCCTGCAAACCTGGAGCATTGTTCAAGTTCGTAGTAAAAACCATCTTGCCTGTTCACAGCTCCAGTCATTGAATTCAAGTATCCTCAGAGCTGACTGACTTCACCATTCGGAAATACAAGTGGGGGCCTGCAAGAAACTTGCGGGAGCGGCTATCCCATTCCCCCCCACCTCTGCTTTTTCCCCTCTTCCCCTACTTCTCTCACACTCTTTCTCCTTCCTGCCACCCCTTTTCTTACTCTGTCTCTCTCCTCTCCATGCCTGTCACTTCCTTTCTGCCCCCACCCCATCACTCTTTCTGCCCCTGTCACTCTCCCGGCCTCCCACCTATCCCCCACACACAGCAGCAGTGGCGGCAGCCACTCTCCAGGAATCACAATGGATTGTCCAAATACACAGATCAGTTCCTCTTAGGGTTGCCTGTTCCATGTTGGGGAATTCCTTGAGATTTGGGGGTGGAGCCTTGGGAGGATGAGGTTTGAGTTTGGATGTGACCTCAGCCTTAGTCCCCACCATCCCCAGGCTCCACCTCTCAAATATCTAGGAATTTCCCAACCTTGAGTTGACATCCCTGTCTCCTTCCCACCCAACAACCAACCTACCTTTATCTACCCCTCTGTCTTTAGCTTTCCATATCCTTTCCCCCTGCAGCTTCTACTGAGGAAAATGATGGTCTTTCTCCACAGTGGGGACTAAAGCAGTTGACATTAGTCTCTCCTCCTTTTTATCCATACAACAACCCTACGAGGTAGGTTAGGCTGAAAGTATGTGACTGGTCCAAAATCACCCAGTGAGCTTCCACAGCAAATGGGGATCTAAACCTGGGTCTTGCAAACCCTACTCTGAAGCTCTGACCATTATACTACACTGACTTTCATAGGGTGGCTGCTGTTGAACAGTAGCAAGCAGCCAGGCCTAGTTGAATCATGCAAGTCAGGTGGTATCATGTCAACCAGAGAGTGCTGCTAGGCCTAGGGTTGCCAACCTCCAGGTGGGACCTGGAGACACCCCCCCCCCCCGAATTATAACTGAACTCCAGACAACGGTGTTCTCTCCTCCTAGAGAAAATGGGCGGACTCTGTGGCATTATAACCAGCTGAGGCTTTTCTCCTCCCAAAAACTCTGTACTTCTCAGTCTTCGCCACAGAATCTCCAGGAATTTCCCAACTTGGAGCAGGCAATCCTAGTCCCAGGCCTGGCTCCAAACCTCCTGCTATTTAGCCATTCATACTGCAGAAGGAATCCTTCTCAGTCTGAGATCCAGTTCTGCTTTTGCTTCCTCCCCCACCCTGGCTATCAGCCAGTCTCTCACTGTTGATGCAGTGGGGCCTGGAGTAGATCCCTGTGGCAGACATTTCAAAAGGTATTGGGAGGAATTCAACCCTCCCCGAGTTCTTTTTTAAACTTTTTGGATTTTTCTTTAGACCCATGGAGTCCCCTGAGTCTGTAGAAAAACCTGTTGGGGAAGACTATGCCCCCTATCTGTGGAAATAAGTATCCACATGCACAGAGGACTGTTGATGATTCACCTGTGTTATAATGCCCATGTCACTAAATCTGGATTTTCTCATTATTTTTCAGGAAAGGAAAAGAGGCTGAAGCAAGCCAAAGAAGAAGCCATAGCTGAGATAGACCATTACAGATTACAGAGAGAGAAGAATTTCAGACAAAAGCAAACCAATGTAAGGAAGACTTATCTCAGCCTGGTTCAGAAATGAGCATGTACACCATATATATGTGGTGCAGTTGCTCATTGCATACATCGTATGTCCACCAGTGTTCCCTCTAAGCTGAGTTAGTGTGAGCTAGCTCATGGTTTTTTAATCCCCAGCTCACAGATTTTCTTCTGAGCTCAGGAAGGGAGGGCTCCAGAGCAAGCTAATTGATGCAGCAGCCAAATCGCTCACTCACAGCTTTAATGCCAGTCGCTCACAAAGCACAATTTTTGCTCACAAGACTCCACAGCTTAGAGGGAACATTGATGTCCACATGCCCATTTCTCATAACCCTTCAATTGCCAAGGACTGAATCACATAGCCAAGGGCTTTCTGCATGGGTGAGGTGTGAACACATCTCCTCACTCTGATCCATCTAATAATGTTACCTGGAAATTCTATTTGTGGGCTCGTACACTCAAGTGGTTAAGACGCTGAACTGCAGGCTGTGGAAGGTCAGTAGTTCAGCGGTTCAAGACCCGGGTGCCGCAAGACAGGGTGAGCTCCTGTCTCTAGTTCCAGCTCCTGCCAACCTAGCAGTTCGAAAGCAAGAAATTGCAAGTAGATAAATAGGTACCACTTCGGTGGGAAGGTAACAGCGTTCCGTGCGCCTTAGTGTTTAGTCATGCCGGCCACATGACCACGGAAACGTCTTTGGACAGCGCTGGCTCTTCGGCTTTGAAACGGAGATGAGCACCGCAACCCTAGAGTCGGATTCGCCTGGCTTTCGAGCAAGGGAACCTTTACCTTTACCTTTACACAAATAGTCCTTTAATTTGCTTTATTAAAGTATGCTTTAATTTGTTTGATCTTTTGTTCCCTTAGTGAAGGGTCCAACACACTGTTGCTATAAACAATTAAATGGGGTTATAATGACTTAAAATTAATAGTCTGCCTCTTCTGCAAACTGGTTTACAACATTAAATAAAATAAAACAATTGAAATTAAAACAACGAAATTAGTTAAAACTAAGCTGAAAAGCAAAACACATCTGGTGACCTACAAAACCAATAGTATAGTTGCAGGAACAAGATAAAATACAGGCTAGAATAAACATAAAACAAGGAAGAATTTAAGTAATAAAAGCACATTAAGCTATCCAACTAAAAGATAGACCTAAAGCTCAAGGGAAAAGCCTGGGAAAATAGGAATATTTTGACCTGGCACCTAATGTCAACAGATTAGGCATCTGGGGAACCTTTAGTGGGATGGCTTTCCAGGGGCTGAGGCACAGAGGTCAGGACTCGAGATAAATATCTTAACTAGAAATTCATGCCCAAAGTACAAATTCCTTTATTTGCAAAAGATCAGGGATACCAGTGCTAGGGTTGCCAATTTCAGGTTGGAAATCGCCTGGAGATTTGGGGGTGGAGCCTGTGGACAGCCGGGTATGGGGGGAGGGAACTCAGCAGGGTATAATGCCATAGAGTCCACCCACCAAACTAGCCATTTTCTCCAGGGGAACTGACCACTGTAGTGTTGAGATCTGTTGTAACTGGCAACCCTAGATGCCACATACATCTTAGTGAATCCATCTGGCAGAAGAAAATGTCTATTTACTCTCACGATCAGACTGTAAGCCAATTAATTATATGTACAGATTGTATTGGGGAACTTGGCCACTGGACTCTAAATTTGTTCTCCTGCTTCAGACGAACACAGCTGACCACCTGGAGCTCTCAAACAAATGTGCAGCTGCCTGTTGGTCAGAAGGTGACACACAGCTGATTGTAGGAGTCATTGAAAGTTTGGTACTAATTTACTACCCCACCCCCTTCAGAAATACAGGGACCCAGTGAAATTGGAGAAGGGAGAGGAAAAAGAGAACACTTCTCTCCTCTCTAGGCTAGAAGCTGACAGAAGCAATGCTTCTGATCTCCCCATTGCAAAAGGGAGAGACTGTTTCTCTTTCCCCACCTCCAGGCTGGGTCGGGGGAAAGAAGCAACACTTTGATCTCCCAATTGTAGAAAGGGGAAACAGAAAGAGATCACTTATCTTCTATTCTCTGCAACCCAAGCTTGGGATGGGGAGCAGAGAAGGGAAATCAGCTGGGCTTCCAGTCCCTCCTCCCACCACCCTCATTCTCTGGAAGGCAGCAAAGTTTCTAGGATAAAAAAATAAGAAGAACCCGACTTCCAGCTGACCTGGGAGTCAGCATCTGTTCCCTTCACCCCCAAAAAGTTGCATGGTACAGAACAAAATTTCCTCAGCAGGAGATCAGGTCAGCTTCTGATAACTGCAAGTACCATGTTCCTTTAAACAGATATGAACAGGCTGCGAACAGTGGAACGGCCCATCAATTCATTGGCTGCCTGATTGCCACTGACAAAACAGGTAGTAAGCCCAAATGGCAGGTGTTCAAGCATCCCTGCGGACGGTCCATGAGGGTAACTGCGTTGATAACATTTTTATGATTCATATGAAATATTTAAAAAGAATATAACCACAAGTGGCCCTGCTCTAGTCCTAGTTGCAGACACTCAGTATATTGCAACAAATGTTCCCACTAGGTGGGGCTGAACATTTGTATGATCTATTCCACTAGTTTGATGGAGCCTGGGGTGAGATTTGTGATGTGGATTTCCCTTACTGAGTCAGGGCAGTTTGTGCTGTTGAATTGATTGATTGTTTGTGATAAGGTAGAGAGGCAAAATACACAGTTCTTCAATTTAGTACATTTTAGAAAATTGTGAACACTTTGAGAACAGTGGTTTTTGGAAACCTTTTGTGAAAAGTGAACATAAATAATGGATACTTCACGGAGCCACAAATTTCGACAAGGCTTATTTGCCACCTACTTTTGGTCACCATCAGCTCCCCTACTCTGCAAGTCCTCTGACATGAATGCAGACCTTGGAAGGGGAGGGTCAGCCCTTCACTTCATGCTGAGCTTCAGAGAAAGAAAGAGACGCATCTCTTCACACCAGGCACTGGGGAAGGAAAAGCTGTTGGAGTGGTTTATGCTGCTTCTTTCCTTCTCTAAAACCTCGTGCAAAATGAGAAAAATTACTCTTCCCTCCCCTGAGAACTCTCTGTATGCAGAGATCTCTGGGGAGAGGTTTGTTTCATTTTGTGCCAGGCTTAAGAGAAGGCAGAAGCCGCACAAGTTCCTCTTGCAGTTTTTGCTTCTCCAAAGCCGCCTTCCCTTCCTCAATTCCAGTTCATGCAAGAGGACTCAGGGGAAGACATTGGACATGTCTACCAACAAAATCCCTTCCGCATCTCCAAGTTATCTGCAATTTATGGACAATTCAGAGGAAGGGAGGGGATGTTAGTGCTTGGGTGCCCATAGCAGGGTCAAGCGTGGCATGGGTGCCACTGGCAACATGTGACCAGATTCCTGTGAAGCTCTCACAGAGATGCTCTAACAGAACAAGGGGGAGAAGTGTCACACTGACACATACCCTGTTTTTTCCAGGTCACACAAATTTCTACTCCAGACACACCTTTATATTTCCAATCCTACACAATGAGTATTATTGTTGTAAATGATTAAATGGGCTCATGTACTAGGCATGCATCCATTTGTTTACAAAAATTAAGGTGACTGATATCCATGCAAAACATTGTTCTGGTGTATTACGAAACATTAAGGTTTTTTTATCATTATATTGTTTTCCATAACACTGATTTTTTTTTTTTTGGTTTGCAATTTAATCTTTAATATATTGAAGAACAGGCTGTTAAAACTTCCTGACAATCTGACACTCACACACACTGCACTCTGAAATGGCATCTTTGTGCAACAACCATTAGAGTAAAGGGCATCTGAGCTAGCATAAATAAGATTTCAAGTTTCTGTTTCACTCACAGGATGTTTTGTTTGACTTGTAGATAATGGGCTCTCAGGGTAACCTATCAACGAAAATAGATGAAGAAACTACAACAAAGATCCGGGATCTCGCTAGTAACTACCGTAAGAACATGGAAAGCATGATAGGACATCTTTTGGACAAGGTGTATGACATCAATCCAGAAATCCACCCAAATTACGCATATACTATTTAAACCATTCTGTGGAAATGTTTTACGAAGTGCACTGATGCCTTTGCCATTAGACAGGGTGATGTGGTTTACCTCAACTGGCAGATTATAAAGTACCATTAAAGGGCAAAATAAAGTCAGTTGTTATATTTTTACCACCAGTAAGACTTGGGTAGCCATTTGGATATTCCGAATCTAGGGTCAAAATTTGTCTTGTGCTCTCCTCGGGCAGAAGGTATCGTTTTCCTGATATTTGTCATTTTCTACATTTCTACTGTGTATGTTAGAAACTGCAAGTCAAAAAAGCACGTAGATGTTTATAAGATTTGTGATGCGACTAGTTCTTCCAAGGTTTCACGCAAGCATTTGGTGGAATGGATTTCCTCCTCTTCCCCACCCGCACCCCTTTTTTTCTGATAGCAAGGATTTGCAGTGCCATCCTAAGCAGAGTTACACCTTTCCAGGGCCACTGAAGTTAATGAGTTTAGAATGGTGTAAGTCTGTTTAGGACTGCATTGTTTGTCACTTAAATATGGGCAATGGCAGAATAAGGATTTGTTTGACACCAGCAGCTTTTCAGTGGGTGTCTTTTTCTTCTTTACTTATGTTCTCTACTACTTTTAAAAAAGTGTTCTGTATGACTTAGCCTGTCGCAGGAAATCTGTTTGTTGCAATATGTGGAGCATTTAAAATAACGAAGTATTTTTTAATACATGTAAAAACAGAGAGTTAAAATTATAGCACTTGTCTAATATCTAGAGACACAGCTATCATACATATTGTGTAGCTTTACAGATTAGGAATAGTTTATGGAGAAGGGATTCCTGTTTGGGGCCCTAATCACTGATGAACTCAATAATTGAAATCTACATCAATCTGCATGTGAAAATAAAAACATTTATTCTCATGGTGGGGGAAACCCTTCCTTTGGTTTTAGATTGTGTCTCAGCAGACATCATCATCTCAGAAGAGGTGTTCCCCCCTTCTTTCTTGCCTAGGAGGGAATGCCTCTTTGGAGATGGCACTTGCCACCTGCAGATTCTAAAGATTTGTTTTTAAAATAATTTTAGACATGTGACAAACTAGGTCAAGTTAACTGGGGCACCTGATTATGTTGAAAGCAAATGTGTGAGACTGAATGAAATTGCAATCCATTCCCCACCCACCCACCACCCCGAGACAATTATTCACTTGTTGACTAGCAGTACCTTATTGAAGTTGCATGCCCTATGTTTCTCAGTGTAACCATCAGTATTCATAACGTATGATAGTAAATGAGTAGCGGTGTTGCATGAATAGACCAGGTTAAATTGTTTTGCAATACATCAAGATATGAAATCATACTGGGTTTGCCACTTTTCCAAAGAGGGGGTTTCTGACCCGTCAGGAGCTTTGGGTGACAATTTGACTGGTGTGGTATACATCAGTTCTTTGAAAGTAAACATCTACACGTAACTGACAATGCCCAAAATTTAAAATTCTATTTATTTTGTTTTATAATTCATTCTATCCTCAATCTTCCAACTGGGTTTTAGGTTTGATATCCTTGATGGGTCACTAGCTTGACTGGATGGCTACTTTGAGGAGCAGATGGTAGCAAACCCAAGTCATATCACACACCCTGAAAGGGGTCTGCTGTCCAACCCCATATTTACAACCATTTCTCCTTAAATACATATGGATGTCCTCTTGTTTCTGGGGTGTTGATGGCTTTCAGAAGGCTAGATTTAGCTGTGAGACTGACAGATGTTGATCTGTTTTATTTGACTCTTCTTGAAAAAGGTAACTGATCTCTCAATTGCAACAAATGGGTTTGGATTACAATAGCTGTAACAGAACAAAGTTTGAGTCCAATGGCACCTTTAAGACCAACAAAGTTTAATTCAAGGTATAAGCTTTCGTGTGCAAGCACATGAAAATTTATACCTTGAATTAAACTTTGTTGGTCTTAAAGGTGCCACTGGACTCAAACTTTGTTCTACTGCTTCAGACCAACATGGCTACCCCACCTGAATCAATAGCTGTAATAGTGGCCTCAGCTATTGTACTTAAATGTGTAATTTTGTGCTCCTGAAATAGGTTCTGGTTGGCTTTCATGCTGATTCCCCTGAGCCACTTGTTTCTTTGTAGAATGAAAAAAAAATTAAAGGAAGCCAATAACTTTTAATTTTTTCATAACAGCTGATTAGGGTTGCCAAGTACCTACCTACGAACCGGCAGGGGACACATGCTTCCCTGCCGGAAGATACTTGCTTATAACACAGGCGCTGCACTACTCCGTCACCCAGACGTGACGTAGGCACGTAGCTGGGCGACGCTCTGGTAATGGAGCTGGAAACTCTATGGTACCATTGAGTTTCCAGCCCCATTACTAGAGTGTTGCCCGGCTACGTGCCTACGTCACATCTGGGTGACGGAATAGTGCAGCGCCTGTGTTTTCCCCCAAGGAATGGTCCCGTGAAGAACTACATATCCCCTGCCGAATCAAGGTAAGTACTTGGGAGCCCTGCAGCTGATATAGGCTGGAGACTTTCATACCTTAGAGCTTCCATGTCTCATGCATGCATACAGCTAGACCACTCCCTACGTTTACTAAGAGCACACTAAATGAGATGAAGACCTGTTACCAGCTCCCCCACTGTTTTTTTTAAAGAGTAGCAGTTGTAGTGTTTAAGGTTTCAATCCCCCCCCCCCGGTGCTGTTTATCCAACCCCTGGGCTGCCCTTTACCTCATGTGGAAAAACATAAAGGAACCCTATAATTTCAGACATCTGCATGTAACACATAACTATGTGAAAAGCAAATGTATTGTAATCATTCAAGGGTGTGACCTGGGAAGTCTCTCATTCAAACTTCTCTTCATTCATGCCTTTATGAAACTGCTTTCTCTGGCTCTCCTCTTTGATGTGGTGATAACAACACTGGTCTACTGTGTATTGCGCTGGATATAAACCATAAGATTGGCTCCAAGGGTGTCTTTCAGTTCATGCTTTGGATCTGTCTGAAGACTATTGAAAGAATGATTGACACAAAGGGTATGGGTCACCATTAACTATAAAAACAAAAAAATACATCATAATTTTCCAAAATCAAAATGGAACAAGTCTCTGTGGGTAAATATCACTATTAAAACGGAGGAGGAGGAGATGCTGTAACCCTTCTGAGAAAGATTTCAGACTACATGGAGCCTGTTCTGGAGTGGCTATGAAAGAAGAGTTAGAAGTAAGGCCAGTTCTCTCCAGCTGCAGTTCAAGCCCCAAAGAAGCTGAATGAAGAGATCAGCCTGCTAGGCAGTCTAGTTCAGGAGCCAGGAAAAAACAGGACTTGTCCAGAAAGGGAATGGTGCATTGTTTGGGGTGCAAAAGGAGACAGAGAAAATAGCCCAAAGGAAGGTGTTAAAAAACACAGGGTAAAAAATATTAAAGAGTAGTAGCTGCACAGGCATTGTTAACAATACTCTGGAGTGTTGGGCTGGGTTGCTATAGCAACCTAAAATGCTACCCCACATTATATTTATTTATATTTACTTCATTTATAGCCCACCTTTCTCTTTGGGATTTAAGACAAAAAAATAGCAGAGACCTCCAATATCACTGCAGTAGGCGTAGGATTGCAGAATGAGAAAACGATACTTTTTTTTAAGTCTAAGGTTCTATATACCATAATGTAGAAAATGCATTACAAAAGGAGAAGATGACAATGCAGTGAAAGATCAGCATCCATACAATAAACATTGCATCAGACCACAAGCACATGTAGTAGCTTCAAACCCTTAGGGGGAGAAGGGGGAGAAGAGCCAGTGGAACTGGAAAGGAGAGGATGTGGAGCCAAAACCAGATTTGGGGGGGGGGAATGGAAGCTAAGGGGGGAATGGGATTCTCCTCCATCCTCACAGGTTCCCTCTTACCATAGCTAGTAGCCATTTATAGACATAACCTACATGAATTTGTTGAAGCTGTTTAAAGCCACCTGAGCCACTGGCTACAACCAGATCATGAAGCAATGAATGCCATGTAGATTTGTAATAAGCAAATAATTATTATAACCATTACTTATATTTAGGAGGTAGAGGTAGCTATAATGGGTGCTGGCTGAGTACTCTAAAAAAGCCTTTTCCATTTTAGTCAAAAAAGCCAGAACAAGGATGCATGAGAAGCGAGAACATTTCCCCACAGTGAGCCTGGGGTACATCTTCACATGTAAACAAATCACCAGATAAATTGTCTCCCAGGTACAAATGCACAGGATTGCAGCAATCAGTAGAAAAATATTAACCCCTCAAACTGGTTTCTATGCAGTGAAGCAATCTGGAAGATCAAGAGAACTGTAAACATATGCGTAGGCTCCATAAATCACTGAGAGCGATGCGTGCTTGCTCTCATTAGACAGCAAAGAGGCACGCATGCTCTGTTTTGTATATACACAGCCAAACAAACCCATATAGATTTATGGCACATTAGCAGACTGAATACACCCACATTTCATTACCATGTGACTATTGTGCCTGTATAGAAAATGACTACCTCGTGTGTCATAACTGCTCTGCTATTTTCCAGCCTTTACCATGATGGCCTGCCCTTATTTACAGCCCGTTGTTTTGCTTCCAGAAAGGAAACACTTTGAACTATTGGGACATTATCATTTTGTTGTAGTTATGTGGCTATTATTGCAAAATGTTCAAGGTACGTTTGCTTGGGAGTTTTATTAAAAGCACACAGGGGACCCTGGCCACACATGGAAATCCATGCCATCTTGTAAGTGCAGCACCATTGACCTGTACTGACAATGCACATAGACTGAATGTCAGATTGCTGTAAGACCTTCTTCATACTGTTCTTTGTTTGCATGATATGGATATACCAATCTTCATTCAGGTATTATCATTTCATAACATTTCATAACTTGATTCTGCAGTTCCTCCCTGTCAAATCTTGGGTAACAAGAATAAACCAATGATCTTTGCTGTGATGAAAATACAGCATCCCACGAGAGGCAGGACCACACACACAGTTGTGGTTAAGAACACTAACATGTTTAGTTAAAAATGTTTGCCAGCAGATCAGAGCAAACTGACCTGGCTTGCTCCTATGGACTTTTCATTGCAAGTGCAGCTTTTCACAATGCTAATGTCTGTAGATTGTGTTACGGCTAAAGGTATAGGAGCAGAGACAGGCAAAAAGTTGGCACTCAGTCCTGTTGATTACATTCACAGCAGTTATGTCAACAGGCAATAACACAATAATAGATCATAACTGGCAGCCAATTGACAATGTTTACTGAGTAATCACCTTCCTTTTAACTGATTAAATGTAAATAAATGTGGATATTACAGTGATCTCAATATAGGCTTCTCTTGGAGATGGAAAGAAATTCTCAGCCATAAGCAAAGCAACCATTCGTTAGTTCATCTTCAACATTTTTTTCTTTTTTATTCCTGAGTTCAGC